ACAATCAGAGATTGCCAGTGATTCTTTTCAGTCAGGTTCTAAAACCCCAATTCCCCCAGCACATTCCTGCTCACTCCCACCAACGTCCGTCCCATTGCACTGGAGCTCCAAGAACGAGACAGGAAGCAAACAAGGGTTTCAAAGCATGTAAAAAATAACTGTGATATTTTATTACAAGAAGAAAAAAACAAGCAGTTTACAAAAAAAAAAAAAAAAGGACAAACACTATGCCAGGGGCTTTGGTGCTGGGATCAGACCGTGCTGGATCTACTCCAAATTCAGAGAAAAAGGAGTTACATGAACACAGGAGAAGCCACGGGATGCTGTGCCCAGAGACACCAGTGCCTGAGGGCAGGGGCTGTGGTGGGTCAGGCTGTGGGATTGGTGCTGGGAACTCCTGCAGAGGTTTCCCAGCTCTCCACAGCCAAGGTGGTTCTGCCATCCCCAGCCCTCAGCTCCTGCTTTAACAAAGCCCAGCCTTTCCCCTGTGTATCCCAAGGATTCACACCCTCCCCACGCACCCAGCCCAGCCCAGCTGATACACCAAGGGGCCACACAGGTCCCAGGCACACAGACATGCCAAAAAGCCAAAGTTTTCCATGAGTTTTGGCCATGGGGTGGGGGTGTGTGTGTGGGTGGGTGTGTGTGTGTGTGTGTGTGTGTGTGTGTGTGTGTGTCAGACTTTGCGTGGTACAGAAAGAGCCGAGCCTGGACACCCTTCAGGCAGCACCTGGGAAGTGGAGCTGTTTTTAATGCACTGAGTTTGGGCACCTTTTGTGTGATTTTGTAAGAAATGAAGAATAAATGAGAAAGTGAACAACTCACCCAGAGAAGCTGTGGCTGCCCCTGGATCCCTGGAAGTGTCCAAGGCCAGGTTGGACGGGGCTTGGAGCAACCTGGGCTAGTGGAAGGTGTCCCTGCCCGTGGCAGGGGGTGGGACTGGATGATCTTTAAGGTCCCTCCCAGCCCCAACCATCCCATGACCTGTATGATCCTGCTCCCAGCCCTCACCTCTGAAGCACCACATTATGGAATACAGAGCAGGACACAACCAAAACCTGTTACACTGCAGGAAAACCAAATTTTCTTTCCCATCCAGCACAGATCACCTTCCATGTGAGCTCTGTGCTCTTTTCCCCCTATTTTACTGCTGTGTCCCAGATTCCAGCCCAGACTCAGCTGAGGTTTGGGAGATGCTCCACTCCATGTCCATGGCCTGGACTTACCCAGCAGAGCTGACAGGGGCACCACACTGATCTAACCAGCAAAGCAAACATTTCCTGAATCCAGAGTTTCTTCCCTTTCCAGAGGGAAGTACCACACAAGGATCCCATCTCGGGATGCAGCAATGGGCAGAGCTGGATGGGACTTACAAGCTCCCAGCCCTTCCACCTGGGCTCATGAGGGGTGTGGGGATCAGAGGAGCTGGAATTCAGCTTCTCTGGAAGGAAACCAGGATCTTAAAGTGTGTGTTGGAGTCAGGGCGACGGTCATTCCGATATCCTGGGATAAAGCCTGACAAGTGTGACCTGATGTGAAGGATCTGAACAGCTTCCCCTGCTCAGGGCAGGGCAGTTGCTCCATGGAGCTGCTCCCTGGGAAGCCAGAGCAGCTCCAAAGCCGTGTCTCCGTGAGTTCCCATCCTGAGGGAAGGCACAGATACCTCGTTGCTTTGAGAGAGCGTTTATTGAGCGTGCAGGATCCATCCCAACCCCCATCCCAAGGGTGCAGCTTCCACAGGGGTTCCACCTCGCTCAAGGGCTGTGTGGGAGCAGGCACAGGGAAAACTGGGAGCACAGCACGCACGTGGGAAGGGGGAGGATTCCCCAAAAACACCAGGAGTGCAGCCATTAATAAATGCAACATGGAACATGACAGAGATCCGAGTGTGACCGAAGGAAGCGTCTCTTTGGTGGAGTTCTGTGCAGCCAAGTTTGGTAATGGAGGGAAAATCCCGAACAAACAAACAACAAATCCCACCGTTTCATCCTCAAATTTGCTTTTAGATCTCAAGGTTGGAGGCTGACAGGCAGACACCCCTAACACTGTCCCAAAGGGGCTGTGTAGGAGTGCTGGAGGCTGAAATGGGAATCCCCCCAAGGCACAGATCCGTGCTGTGCCGTACCCTCCATCCCTAGGACAGAGATAAGGACGTGTGGAACAGGAACAAAGCCTGGCTGCCAGCACAGGGTGTCCCACAGGCCACCATGGATCAAGTGCTCTGTAGGGAGTTACACAACAAGGCTAATGCTGATGCTCTTCCCTCTTCCCAGACCATTCCCGGCACATGGAGAACGCGACAGCTTTGACTGTGAACACAGAACTGTGACCTGGGCACTCGGCACTCCGAGGGATCCCAGTGGGAGGAGCAGAGTGCCCGTCCCCTGCTTTGTCACAGCCATTAAACACAGAGTAAACTACCTAAAAGGGGCAATTTCATGTGACTGAAATGCCCCACAGACCTTCCCATACACCCCCACATCCAGCCAGTGTTTTCCACGCACGTCCTTTGGAACAAACCTGCACTGGCATCCCAGATGGATTTCAGCTCTCAGAGACAAACACCCAGCCCTGGGCTGACCCCACAGGGCACCCCAGGGAACAGTCTGAGCAGGTGAAACGTGGGCTCAGTGACCTCCAAACCAGCAGC